ATATGAGTATCTGTCTAGTGTACAGAGGGCACATATGAGTATCTGTCTAGTGTACAGAGGGTATATATGAGTATCTGTCTAGTGTACAGAGAGCATATACGAGTATCTGTCATCTAGTTCACTACAGAAAGAGAGAGAAAAGCAACTAGAGAGAATGATCACGGCCTTATACTTGAATTTTCCAGATTTCGAACTTTGGAGTGAATTATCTCATCTCCATAACAGCTCTGAAATAATCAGGGAAGATATCTGCTCCATTTTCAGAGTTTCAGGTGTCTAAGGTCATGTGGTCTGTAGGAGCAGAGGAAGAACTTGGCTCCTAGACCAGTGCTCTTTCCACTAGTGATAATACCTTTTTGGATTCTACTTGACTGGGTTTCTCATGAATTTGAGTAGCTGTGCTTTCATTTCTTCATGCCTTGCCACAGGATGTTGCCTTTTGTGTAAGGCCAACCCCATCGTTTTCTTCCCTCTGGCCAGTTTATCCTTCAGCCTTGACCCCCATATGTTCTCATTGCTGTGTGTTCTCAGAACACATGTCCATATTTCTGTTATTTCTCTTGTGTCTTTTACCTTAATGACTTGTTTTCTCGATAATTTCTAAGCTGTCTTCACTTTGCACAGTAGTGCAGGATCGTCAAAGCTGAAACCATCAAAGCGCTCTTGATACTAGTGGGAAAATTATGATTGTTCCCATCGCTTTTAATTTTTTTTGTCATAACATTAAAAACTCTCTTACTGCCTGTTATAAATATATATTGAAATAAAAAATAGTACAACTAATATTGATTTAGTATACTGTAATTCATAACACTGGAAACACTGAGGATTTTACTTCTTTGTGAAAAGCTTATCAAGGGTAAGGAGTGTGAACAGGGCTTGCCTCCCTCTTCCCGTCAGATAACCTACAACACAGAGCTGACTTCTTTTCTTGCCTTGGCGAATTGTCGTAATCCTTTGGAAGTTGGGATCAGCTTCCAATATTTTATCCTTTGCACTCTCAGTGTGGTGAAATTACCCACGAGCTTCTTTGATGTGAGTTTTTTTTGCCGGCATCGCCCTCTCTAGGACGTCTTCATCACTTTTGTCCTTTATGTTGATAAGTTTTCCTTCATTAAAGTCTTAAAGCTCAGCAGTGTCCACATTTCCATAGCCAGCTCTTTCTTCTTCTATACCTGTATTTATGTTCAATTCAAATTTCAGTATCTCTTTTGGTTTCTTTGCTGCACTTTTTTTTTTTTATTTTGGCCAGTTCCGTCTTTAAATTATCCATTTTTACATGGTTTTGTCAGTGACAGACAAGAAGACAACTGCATGTTTTGCTGTCTGTGCCTGCACTGAATAACAGACGTACAACAACTAGTCACCAAAAGACTTTGTAAGAAATTATGTGATTGGTCACGGATCATGATGTGTGTGTATTATTTATATAGTAATTTTTGGACTGAAGAGCTAGCAGCAAAGTTGGTACTTTATGCAGTTATTCAGTTACTATATTGTGATAACTGAAATTTGGACCGTGTTGTTGGGGGACTGGTTTTATTTAACTGAGATTTGTACATCTCTGGATCTATAAGTGCAAAGCAAGGGCTGCCTGTATGCATGCACCTCACGATCATTAGTCTTACCTGGATCCCTCGTATCTAAGCACATGATAGTCATCAGGAAAGAAGTTGTTGAATGAAGAAGGAGAAAACCATGGTGTCTTCATGGGAAAGCTAGATTTCTACTTTTTTTACAGATGGATGAATGGATAGGAGAATTTCTGTATGTAGTTTTAGTTCTCCTGCTGTGGAGTCTATAAAGATTAATTCCTGTGCTTTACTTTCAGAAAGCCGCATGCCAGTTTGAAACCTTATGTGCCTTACGTTACAGGCTGACCTCTGTGTCCCTCGATTGAATGAAGGGGACCAAGTTGTACTGATCAACGGTCGGGACATTGCGGAACATACCCACGATCAGGTTGTCATGTTTATTAAAGCTAGCTGTGAGAGACATTCGGGGGAACTCGTGCTCCTGGTTCGCCCTAACGGTAAGTGCTCTGGGTAGCACCACACACCTTTCCTAATTCACTGGGTGGATTACTGTACACAGCAGTCGTGTCAAGTCAGCCTCCTGCTCAGAACACCGTGGCTTCCATTCACACTTGAAGTAGAATCCAGATTGTTGGAACACTTCCCTACCACTCAGCTCGCTCACTCTCCTCTCCTCTAGCTGCACTCACTTTCTGGTTGTTCCTCAGATGCTCCAAGCTGTTTTACTTCAGGGTCTTCGTAGTTGCTCTTCCTTCTGCCTAGAACACTCTTCTTCTTGATTTTTGTGTGACTCACATCCTCACTTCATTTAGGTCTCTCTTCAGATGTCATCGGCAGAAAGGCCTTCTGTGGTCGTGACCGTAGCTAACATAGCCTCCCTCTTCCCACGCTTGCTGTAGTGGTAGTACTAAGTGCTCAGTAAATACTCGCTGAATGAGTGAATCATTGTTGAGCTCTGTTCCACTTTTAGAAAACTCCGTAACAAGATGCCATTAAAGCATTTTTTAAAAATGTATGTTTTTAGTAGAAAGTGTCATCTTCTGATCTGGACAGCTGACTTGCTGATTGATAGTCACGGAGTCCCAGGTCCGGAGAGAGCTGGAACACCGTAAGCTGGCTCCTTTGCTGCTGATTGAGCTTCCTCTCCAACTCCAGGAACATCTGCCCACCTGGGGCGCTCAGGGGCTTCCGAGGCAGCTCAGTCTCCCTTTGGGTGGCTTCGACTGTCGATTGAACTAAAAATACATATTCTTTCAGTCCCATTGTCCCTAATTCTAGCACTTCGTATTATGCACAATAAGTTTAATCGCTCTTCCTTCAATTTTTGGGGGAATAACTACCTAATCTTACCCAAAAACTACCTGCTTTCTCCAGTTTAACAATCCCAGATCCTTCAGCCAGTATTTTTATGGCGTCGTTTCAAGTTCCCTCAGCCCTCTGTCCTTCTCTGGAAAAGAAGCCCTGTATGACTGTGTCCCAGCACTGGATGTGTTCTTCGGCTTTTGCTCTGAACATTCACTGTTAATCATCGTTTTAGCTGCAGGAGTCATTGTTGGTTGGTGTTATGGTGCCAGTTGTTGAATATGTACCATAGAGAAGTGAAACGTAATTAGAACGATCCTCCGCCACCCCCAACTCTGCAAAATTTTTTATTAAAAAGGACCCTCTTTTTGCCTTTTTGATTCAAACAGGCATTTTCTTTTTAATCTTGTCTACTTTGTCTTCTCCTTTCCTCGTCTGGAATGGACTTTCTAGGAAGATTGAAAGGACTTCAGTAGAATGTTCTAGTGTGACTTTTCAAGGAACTTGTTCGTTTAGACCTCATACCTAGGTGATTCATTATTAGACATTTTCTGTTTTAGAAAGCAATGTAAATGCTATACCAAGAGTAATTTTCTCGCAACTTTGTTCTGTGTTCTCCTGATAACAGATCCTGAAAGACTTAACAAATATTAGCTAATGGTTATTAAAAAGGAGCCCTGGTGGTGCAGTGGTTAAAGTGCTTAACTGCTAGCCAAAAGGTCAGTGACTCGAAGTCACTAGCAGCTCCGAGGGAGAAAGATGTGGCAGTCTGCTTTCATAAGATTTGTAGCCTTGGAAACACTACAGGGCCACTATGAGTCGGAATCGACTCGACAGCAGTGGGTTTGGTTTTGGTTTTGGCAGTAGTTATTAAATGCTTTCTATGTACCTGGAGCCCTGGTGGCATGGTGGTTAGACATTCAGCCGCTAACCGAAAGGTCAGCAGTTTGAATCCACCGGCCGCTCCTTAGAAACCCTATAGGGCAGTTCTGCTCTGTCCTGTAGAGCCGCTGTGAATTGGAAGCGACTCAACAGCAACAGGTTTTGTTTTGTTTAGTTGGTATGTGCCTGGGCCCTTTTGTATATTCTCATTTAATCCTCCCACTCTCCAATAAAATAGATGAGTTAGCCCCATTTTAGAGATGGAGAAACATAGGCACCCAGGTACTCAGTTATGCTCACACATTCCTCACCAGTCCAGAGCCAGAATGTGAGCAAAGGTCCATGGATGAGGAAGGCAGGGCATTCTTACGTCTCCAGAATGCCTCACTTATACTTGAAAATAGGAGAGGAGCCCACCTAGGGTCTACGCCTCACAAAAGAGCTTTCTCACATTGTTTTGTAGTTAAAACCCAGACCAGGGCCTGTATTCACTTTCAGTATAGGTCTATCATGTCCATTTTTATTAAAATAACTTGTCATCAAAATTTTAAAGTATGGTTGCTAAAAAGATGAGAAAATTTTAATTTTTTTAATTCTTCTTTCTTCTTATCATTTCATTCTTTATTTCAGAAGTGGATTTGCCTCAAAAGTACATACAAGTCCTGAGCAGGAACCAGAGCCCTTAGACAAGGACATAGGGCCTTAACTGGACACCCCTTACTCAGGCCTGCCTAGGCCCTTCCTCCCTGCTCTGGGTTCCTCTCCCTGTGGGGTCAGGAGGTTGTAGAGCTGAGAGAGGAGGCCAACCCATCACCTGTGCCCCTCCCTCAGTTCTCTGCCCAAACAGCTCTGAAACCACTTCCTGGGCCTGTGTGGACCTCTTCTCTGTATCCATTCTACTGAGGG